GGGGGGGAGAGGTCGAAAGAGGATGGAGTTCATCTGTTTTCAGTGGGGGCAGATGACAGAATAAGGAGCAATGGGCTCAAATTGCTGCAAGGGAAGTTTAGGTTTGATATTTAGAAGAACCTTCTCACTTGGAAGGTTGTAAAGCACTCAGATTACCCCAAGAGGTGGTAGAACCTCCATCCATGGAAGTTTTTAAGACCCAGTCTTGGCTGGGATGATGTAGTTGGGATGGTCCTGCTTTGAGCAGGGGGTGGGACTAGATGACCTCCTGAGGTTCCTTTCAACCCTACTTTTCTATGGTTGTATCAGTTCCTGTACATAAGAATTGCCAGGGACTGGGGTAATTTCCTAGGTCCATTTTGCCCGGTCTCCCGTGTCCCACGGCAGCAGAGAGCAGATGCCAAAAGGGAGAGTGGCCTGGGTCTGACCAGGATTTTTCCCTGTTCCTCTCCCTTGCAGCCTCTAGCATGGAAGGCCTAGGAAGGTTCCTCCCAGCCCCACTTCACTTCTGAGGGTTCCTCCCAGCCCTACTTCTCTAGGATTTCTATGATAACACCTGTGGAATGGAGTTTAGCAGGAATCTGGCCTAACATCTAGATGATTGTCTGTGACCAACTAGCTCCCCTCCTTTTCAAGGCTTCTAATAGGAACTCTTTGACCCTGGCATCACCATTTCAGGTCCCGGTCAGCAGGCAGTTCATTGAGGTACAGCTACATCACAAAGCCAGTGGGGCTGAAAGATACTATGCACTGAAGTCACCCAGTCGCAGGTGTAGGAAGGTGCTGAGTGGACTGCACAGACCCAGCTAAGCTGGGACCTCCCCCTGAAAATCCCTGCCTCACACTCAGCCCAAAGCCTGTCACCTCAGTTCTCTCAGCAGCAGTGCAAGCCAAGACATTAGAGCATAACCCCAGAGATGCTGAGCAGTCAGAAATAAGTCAGGTATGAAAAAGCAGTTTAAACCCCCTGAGATTAACAACAGCAGCAACTTGGGGGGGTGGGGGGGGTGGTCTGAGTGCCTTTAGTGTGGAGGATGCATTTAGGCACTCTTTTTATGCAGTGAAAAGGGCTGGCACCATATTATTTTTTTTCCGTTTTAGATGAAAGCTGATATTCTCCTGTAACCGCCTGACCCAGGGCCTGTCAACAAACAGCCCAATGTCACAAGATGCGTGATGACAACATGGGGCCACTGAAATAAACACCGGTGGCTGGTGCTCAGGGCTGGCACAGTTCAATTCCCCAAAAAAGGATCCGTGGCTACAAAGGAGAGAGGATACAGAAGGCAGGAAGCCCAATCTAATGACAGGGGCAGCTTTGAGAGGCAGGAGAGAGCTAAGGATGGTCCCAAACATAAAGGCAGAAGGGAAAGAACCAGTTCCTTGACCTATCAGGGACAGAAGCCGCAAAGCAACAAGGGAAAGTTAGGTCCCCCCCTGCATGTATCCTTAAAAACTGCCAATGCCCACTGCCGTGACATGCTGCATAGCAAAAGCCATGAGTACAAAAGCAGCTACAAGATTTGTCCGAGTAGAAACTGCACAGAGGACATTGGGGAGATGATGTCCAGAAAAAAGCATGAGGAGAAAATGCCAGCCTGGGGGGTGTGTATGCAAGCAGGGTTTTCAAAAGATACCCAATCGTGAAAGCATAGTTATGCAAATAGCCTAGAAATGACCGGTAGCATTAGCAATAGTCATGGTAAAAATAGTGATGATGCAAGGAACAAAAGGAATAAAGGCCAACTTGCTACACACTGTGAGGCCATGAGGAAACTGCTCCCTCCCCACCATGTTATTAGACAGGGCTATTGTGTGGAACTGAAATTCCTTCTTGACCCCACATTTGGCATTGCTCTTAACCTGAGTGGAAGGGCAAGACCCTCTAGCCAGAACCCTCCAGCCTTGGCTGCAGCCAACAGCTTGTCCCTCCCTGAGCCTCTGCTGTTTGCTGCTGTCAGACAGGCTGCTAGGCTGGGCCTGCCCTGTGAGGGCAGCTTGTATGATCCACAGGGGCTGTTAGAACCGGGCTGTGGGATGAAAGGAACAGAGTGGGGGGGTCACGGCATGTGCATTGAATCACTGGGTGAATGCTCAGCTGGGGGTCCAGTGGCCTCCTTTGCCACCTCACTGGAGTCGGGCCCTGGATGGCACTCCATTGCGGGCTAGAAACCCTGGCATTGGCTTTGCGGGGGTTGAGCTTTTTGCTGCTCGGCTCTGTAGGGGAGTTGCCAGTTCCTTGAGGTCTCTCTCACACAGATGCTCAGGCCTTTTTGTCGAAGGTGGCACAAGGGCTTTGGCTGAGGAGGGGGCAAACACCTTGCTGGCTTCAGGAGGAAGACACAGGGATGGAAGGCCAGGGCCCCCAGCAATCACCAAGTTCAGAGTTAGTCCATGCTCAGGGAGCTGCGGGCTCTGCCTATCATGCAGTTCTGCTTTGCATCTGGCCACGGGCTCCCAGATTCAGCTCCTGTGTTTTCACCTATAATACGCCCTGGAGTGCCACAGAGAAACCCTAGAGAAGTGGGGGTGGATAGGAGCTCCAGAGGTCCTGTCTAGTCCAACCCTTGCCTGAGGCAGGATCAGCCCCTCTCCAAACCGTCCTCTACACAGCTGTCATTGAACTTCTCAGTAAAATGGCTGTCATCTCTGAGGAGACAAAAGACATCCCACCCCAACCTACCATAGGGGAAAGTCAGAGGACTGCAGAGGCCAACGTCCTGCTGCTGTGAAAGGCTGTTAAAAGATGAAGAGATCCCAGCTAGAGGTTGTGCCCCTGCGACAGAGGCCCAAGTCCAGACCAGTTTGACCAGGGAGTGAAGTTCCTTCCTGATCCCAAATCAGGCATGGGTCTGACCCTGAGCAGAGTGAGAAAGATCAACACCCCCCGCCCCAGCCATCTCTGTTCCGGGTTAAGGACGCTGCTGGCACGACAGCCCCTCCGCTGAGGTCAGACTGGCATGAGCCTGACAGGAAGAGCAAGGCCCTCTAGCCAGGAACCCCGGGTGTGCAAGGACCAGCAGCAGGAGGCCCCGGTTCGGATGCGGCCAAGGCCCTGGTGCCTGAGAGCAGGGCTGTGCACGGGCCCGAAACGTTTAGCAGCGGAGTGGGGGCGGGCACCTAAGCTGCTGCTGCCCCTATTTCACCTGAGGGAAAGTGGATTTACTCTCCTTGGGTCGGGCCAGGCTGTGTGGGCCCAGCCCCCCCCGGGAAAGCGCGGACTTGGGCTGCACCTTTAGCGCCCTTTTTCCCGCCCCGCCCTCGCTGCGTGCGCATCCAGCGCTCCCACCGCCTCTAGGGCGCATGTACAGCCCCTCGCTGGGCCGCGTCATTAGCGGAGAGGAAGGGCCACGCCTCAGAGAGATAACTCACTGCGCATGCGTCAGTAGCAGGGGAGGGGGCGTGCTTCAGAGGAAGGACTCTGCGCATACCCAAACCGGTAGGAGCGGCCACCGCTGCAGAGGAGCCACTGCGCAGGCGTCACGGGGCACAGGTGGGGAGATAGTTCCGAGGAGCCACTGCGCATGCTCCGGCCAAGAAGCGGCGCGGAGAGCGAAGGACTCATTGCGCAGGCTCTGCCGGGGCGCATGTGTGTTGGCTGTTGCCCCACGTGTTTTCGGGCCCTGTGGGAGTGTCCGTGTAGATTACGGATCCTACGTGGGCTGGCCGTATAGATTGCATGGGTTTTTACAGCGCTTAGGTCAAAAGTAATTCTGTTCAGTCATATCCAGACTCATTTAAGCACATAACAAGGGAAAAATTAAAAATAACGAGGGAATAAGGCAAGATCTTTCCTCGCATTCCCCCCCCACCCCGTGGTTCTCCTGCCATTTTGGGCCTGTCCCGGCTATGTAGCAGGGGACTCTCCATTGATCCTTGCCAGATCGGCATGGAGAGGGGCCTCACCGCTGCCCAAGGGCGCCACAGTAATCCCACAAGGCAGCTGGGAATCAGGGACTGCTATTTTGGGGTGGGGCAGGGCAGCTTCACGTGATAATTGGCTCTATACGGCAGGGGGCAAAAGGGATCCTGGGATCCCAAGAGGAAGGTCAAGAGGTGGTGTCACTTCCTGGCAGGGTATAGGTGAGCCTGGCCCTCAGAAGGGGTGCATAAAATGACCTTGAGCACTGAGGGGAGTGCATAAAGTGGCCCTGACCCCTAAGAGGCGGGGCATAGGGTGACCCCCGACCCCTGAGGAACCCGGGGGCAGGGCTGAGACATGCTTAGGTGGCTCCCTCTTTTGGGGGCTGGGGTCAAAAGGTCACCTTTCCACACTTAAGGGGCTAGTGATCCCTCTGCCGTCCTTCTTACGGGCAGAAGGGTCAGAGGTCAAGGATGTGTCCCGGGGTGAAAGAGCAGGGAATATGGGGAAGGAGGTGGGGGGCGAGTGGGAACAGGGCACTACGAAATAAACCTGTTTACAGGCCTCCTTGGGCCTTCTGCGCATGCCCGGGCGCTGTTCCCGTGTGCTCCTGCGCGTTGAGGCCCCGGGCGCTGTTTTCTCGTCTGCCCACACGCGATGTTATTCGCGCTGTTTTCCCTCTGCGTATGCTCACTAAAATATGGCACAAGTCCCCCTCCTGCGCATGCGCAGTTTCCACGACCCGGAAAACTACAACGCCCGGCGTGCTTTGCGGCACTTACACGTAACCGCCTACTAGTCTCTTAGGGAAACGTGGGTATCTCTGTGGAGAGGCGATGATCAGCAAATAAGCAGGTTTTTAACCACCTCACGCAAGTCAATGAAGCCCACGGGGTCTGAGGTGCGGCCCTCAACGCGGCGCCCGTGAGGTGTCCATCTCAGTGCCTGACCCTCCTTGAGAAGCCCCCGAGCGAGCAGGCTTGACACCAGCCCCGCGCCTAAAAGATTCCTAATTTCTAAGGCCCCTTCCTCCCAGTTCCTCCAAACAGGCATTCGAAATGGCCATCCCCCAGAAAAGACCCCGGCTCCCCTCAGAGAAGCGCGGGCTTCCATTGGCTGGGGCGCCCCTCCCCCCGCGCGCTCATTGGTCCGCCCCGTGGGGAGGGCGGGAGCGGCGGCGTCCGCCTTGCTCATTGGGTGAGCTGCCAAGTGAGGGAGTACGCTACCGGGCGCTGGCATTGGTCACTCCTGAGCCTGAGGGGCGGGGCGCCCGCGGGCCCCGCCCCTTGCCTATATAAGCCGCGGCCGCAGGGGAGGCTTCCATCTCGCGGCGGAGGGAGGCGCGGGACGTGCTTCGCAGGGTTCTGAGGAGCGGGGGCCGGCCGCCGCGCATGCGCAGTCGGGACGCAGGGCAGGGGTGTGGGGGGGAGCGGCCGAGGCTGGGCGCGCATGCGCAGTCCGTGAAGGGGGCTGTAGGGGGGCCCTAAGGGCCCCGCCGGGGTCGCGGGCGGCCGCGATGCAGGAGGTGCTCGACATG